TGAAAATATCACTCAATAGGATAACAATGAAGGTTTGTTGTCATTGTTGTAACAAAGTTATGCCAAATGCCCATCGTTCACTAAATTAATGAGCAATTTAGAAGATTAAAATGCTTGATTATGCAAACAAATTGTGTAACACTGAAATACAAGCACCGGAAATTTGAAGCCCATTTCAAGCAGCCTTTCCCTTCTTCTGTCCAATTTTGGAAAATTTCTCTAAACTGGCCAGGGAAGGTGATGCATATAATAATCTTTCAGCTGCATCTAAAGATGAATATTTGCAAAATCAGCCATTCTCAGCCTTGTCATAAGCATTTGACTTGTGTTTTGGAGCAAAAGTAAATCCTTCCGGAACCTTGCCAAGCAGCATTTCGGATATCCTAATCTGTAAATAAAAGCATTTATATTAAGCTCGGATTATAATCATTAATGAAATGTCATGTAATATTCAAAATTTTTGCTTAGTTTGGCTGCGTACCCAATCGGCAGCAGAGTCGGAAGCCATTAAGGTCTCAAGATCATCCCTGCCAGAGTAGCTTGGCGGCCGCCAATTAAGACGCTGTGGGATAATATCTAATAAACCAACTGGAATGTATCTGTGGGTGTAACTAAGCCACTCTAACAGAAAATGCCTAGTTGTTTCCACGCCTGTACAAATAACTTAGAATTAAGAATTAGACAGAGTGTAATGTCTTTTTTTTTAATTTTTTTTGTCTGAGAGCATTTACATACATAGAACACAATTCTTATGTATTTACATATCTCACACCTAGACTTTCATAGTTACACACATTGCACTCAAATCTTTAATATCATATTAAAAATAGAATCACATAAAAAATTGCACTACTTTTACTTTTAAAGTGAAATACACATTTACAGGCAAAGTTTTAAACACAAAAGTTCTATGGCTGTTTTACTTTTAAAGTGAAATACACATTTTCAGGCAAAGTTTTAAACACAAAAGTTCTATGGCTGTAATTATGAAAGCTATGGAGTGAGATATGTAAATAGATAAGTATTGTGTGCTATGTATGTAAATTCCCTTCCTCCCCACCCCACTTTTATTTGTTGATGCGAAGCCGCTAAGATTTTGATGATCTCTTAAATAGCTAATAATTTCTAATAGAACTAGCCTTAAATATTCAAACAAAGCAGCACAGAAAAATCATAATGCTTGCATCAAGTAAGAAAACTTTATTGCGGATGAACAAATACAAATCAAAATGTTCTACATTGAAGGCGATATCTGGCACGATACATGATACTTTCAGAAGTTTTAAGTTCATTCACAGCTTTCAGGAAGCATAAAATTGAATAACCAGGCGACTTTTTTGTTTGGGAGAAATCTTGGGAGAACAAACTCTAGTTAACATTTTGTGTGATCCTCTTCGATTCACATATCATATGCAAAAAGCAAGCTGCAGTTGGTTAATAAAATAAGAACAGAATTCACAAAGCCTGATTTGGAAAATTCATGAAAAACACCGCCATTGCAATCACACTGATAACTCTTGCACATTGCTTGCCTTCTCCTTAAAATAACTTCTCCAACAAAGAGAGGCTAGGCTTTGTTGACCTCAATTTTTTGTGAGGTCTAGTATTCCTCGTAGGAGTTGGGATCTAGCCTTAAAGGTCTTCCTGCGACTATCTTAAAACCTTAGAAATGGGACCCGCCT